AAAATTTCGCTACGAGCTTGCGTCACTTCCGAATCGCCAGTCTTTTGGATGGGAGCATTTTTGGGTTCACATAACATCCTCTTTGAATATCTGACGCGATAGAATATAATTTTTGAACATCTGCAGTAGTTTGTAGTAGTTTTTACATTTTAGAAAATCTGAAGACGCTTCCCTCATCACTGGAAGGGGAAACATTATATAACTTGTTTTTCCCTATCAAATAGTATACAAAATCTAATAGGTGCCCACGACGCTCGAATAAATCCCCGTTTAGCATCATGGCCTCTACTGATTGTTATGTAAACCATCAGTAGAGATCACGCCACCACCAACCGGCACACATTTTCCCTTTGAATTATGCCGTCCATGGCTCCTTACCACCAGGTCGGATTGTAGCCAAATACTGGCTTATAATTAGTTAAAAAATCTAAAAGTCCACTCAAGAGCACATCATGTAAATATTTCATGTAATAATTAGAACAGAAAAAAACACGTTCTATAGAGATAGTACGTTTAGTAAAATACCGTTATCAATATGGAGAGTAGAGATAAGGAGTACAGACTGTGTATTAAAAAGTGTCCATAGAAAACTGTTAAATAATGGTGGCGCCACCATAGCTACGGGGTAAGTTTTAAAGAACGCTCAGAAAAATATTAGTGGTATAGACGAGGTAAAACAAGACGACAAAAAAAAAAACCGCAACAACCCCAAACAGAAGCAGGCCGCAACTATATTTACTAAATCAAATTATTTTAGAAATTAGAGCTACTGAGCAGTTTAGCAGCACACTTCACACCGTCGACAACTGCTAAGTTCATTTCATCCCAGTAGCTACTCCAGCGCTGTTGTGGAGAGTTTTTGAACTGTTATTTATTGCTTACAGTTGGACACTTTTTCAACTATTCTCATATGAGAGATTGTTCTCTTTACTTCTACACTCCATTGTTATCACTATAAAAATCATCGAAACTCCCTACAGATTATAAACAAAAGTTTTAGTGTCTATATTTGCGTCAAAAATCTCAAAAGGTTTTGACTTTGAAAATTTTGACATAATTAAAAAGAAACAAAACTAAAACACCTTTTACGCGGGAAACAAATAATATCAAAGTAAAAGCAAAAAACTTGGTACATAGCGCTTTAGCATAACCAAAATATAATCACTTTCGTTATAATTGCTCTTTTAAAACGTTTTTAGTTGTATTTTTTTTTTTTTGAAAATGAAACCTCGCTCGATCGTTCAGGTGCCAGTGTTCTAAGGAAAGTGATTAATTTTATGGAAAGTTGTGAGTCATTAATGCAATGAAGCAGTGCTGTATAAGTTATTTCAAGCATGCTAATAAAAGTTTCTATTTAATAATGGGTTGATATTATTTTAGTGTTTAGGAGAGTGATTAGGTGAATAGTGCTACTCGCTTAAGGACAGTTCCACGTGTGACGTATCTTAGAATTAGTATATAGAATTGCTTTTCGAGTTCTATAAATATAGTCTCCTAACGCAATATAATAATTTAAGCCCATTTTCAAATATGCCATGCCATGCATTATGTGGTAGCTCAGACGGTTAACGCTCGCTGTAAATATAACAGAACGCGAGTAACCCGGGTTCGATCCCCGCTGGCACCAAGGAAATTGTTAATTGCAATTTTAAGTGCTGATTTACCACGTGCTCGGCGGTGAAGGAAAACATCGTGAGGAAACCTGCATGTCTGAGGAATAAGAAAAAAAATATTTCGAAGACATGTGAAATTCGCCAACATGCATTGGGGCAGTGCGGCGGACACTTCCTTGACCTAAAACCCTCTCAGAAGTGAGAGGAGCCCTGTGCCCAGCAGTGGGACGTTATATAGGCCGTAACTTTACTTTACTTTACTATGTATTATTCAGAAAAAAAGACTAAATAAGATATTATGCGATCATTCATTTTCATTTTAATTAATAACAGTCTATCAAAAGTCTATTGTCGAAATTAGGCTTCCACCGAAAATTGCCTCATAGGCGCTATCTGTGGGAGACTGCTTGATGGTCCAGTGGTTGATCCCGTGTTTGAATACGGGTTCCGGGTCGGGTCAAAACAAGTTATTAGCATTTTTAACCGACTTCATAGAAAGGAGAAGGTACTCAATTCAAATGTATTTGTATTAGGTATGGCCGAATATTCGTATATTCGGCATATTCGGCAGCTTTACCGAATATTCGTATTCGGCCGAATATTCGGCTAAATCACCGAATATTCGTTAAAGTAGTACTTAAAGTGTCCACTGTATTTAAATGCACAAATTGAGTAATGCCATGTCTTTCATAATTTTACTGTTGAAAATATACTTTATTTATAAGTTAAATCTACTTGTGTAGCATAATGTTTTAGAGGCACTATAGATTTATTTCCAATTATAGCAAATAGAAAGTTTATTATACATAGTACATTTCACTTTATCAGTCCAAATGGTATATCTCCTGCCACTCATTTTTATCACACAATTATCCATTTTCATTAAGAATAACACTAGGAATTAGTTTTTTTTCTCACAAAAATAGTCAAAACATTCCTAATTTGCTCACTATTAAATGCAAACATGTCAAGTGTGGCGGGGAGCGAGAAGCAAGGTCCGGCGCTAATCCCGCGCACTTTACGGTAACAAGTTTTGACATAAATTGGTTATGTACCGATGTGGTCTTGTCGAATAAAGTTCGGCCGAATATTTGGTTCGGTAAAAGTTTTACCGAACATTCGGCCGAATATTCGTATTCGGTGAAATCCATATTCGGCCCATCTCTAATTTGTATGGCCTACAAATAATTTCTCCGGGTCTGGATGTTTGTCCATGTGCACTTTATGTTTGTAAACTGCACTCACGATACAGGAAAAAATCCTAGTGTAGGGGTAACGTATTTAAAAAAAGAAAAAAAAACTAAAAAAAAGAGAGAAAAAGAAAAGATGTGTGTTACCTCAGGACTTTTTATAGGTTAACCGATTTTGATGATTATTTTTATTTAAAAGCTGGTACTTCTCATGTGGTCTCATATAAATTTGACTAAGATCTGTCCAGTAGTTTTTGAGTTATTCTTAATAATTCGTATTTAATTAACTTTGAATACATTGACGTTCTCATTTTATTTATATTGAAGTCGGTTGTACAAAAATTTTAATTTTGTTTATTGTCTGTTAAGAAATTCTCAGTAGCAGACTGAAGTTTTTTTTTTTTTGATAATATTTCAGCGACTTATGTGCAAAAAATCCACCTGAGTGTAAGTCACTATATTAGCCCATGGTCGTGTCACACACACACGTGTTTTTTATAGGATAAGATTGACAAACGAGCACACAGTCCGCCTGATGGTAAGTGGTTGCTGTGGCCCATAGACATCTACTCGACCCGCAAGAAGAGACAAAGAAAAAATCTATCCTCGATTGCGAATCCAAATACAGATGCGTTGTCAGACGTGAGGACTAAGATAGAATGTCTCGTTTCCAGTAAAAAGGGTCTCCAGTTCTCTTCACTCACCATACGAAACGCAGCAGCATCAAGCTACTATTTTACGCTAGTTTTCTGTGAGAGCGTGGTCCTTCCCCGGTCGAGCCGACCCATTCGTGCTACAACTATACTATTAATATAGTTGCAGCATGGCTCTACCACTTATAGTGTTGTTGTAGAATACTTCACTGTATGTAATTATAGTGACTCTCTATACCCTTCAGACCGGAGCACTTCGTGGTTGAAAAAGGTAAGAACTACACTTTGATTTAGTCCCAGATAAATTTCAACCATATTCAATAATATTTAAGGTTCGTTTCTAATATAAAATTGTTGATTAGAACTTCAATTACGGATTTTATCGCGTTTCATTTCTTGATTTTTAATTCCCGACGTTTCGGATGCTTTCCAGCATCCATGGTCACGGGACACTGAGGTGACTGACGTCCCGATGCCAGTGTTAACCCGGAGTAACTTCAGATTTTTAGGTATTATATATAGGCCGATCTAAAACGTCGGGAATTAATAACTAAGAAATTAAACGCGACGAAATCCGTAAAATTTAATTTTCGTAAAATTATAAAAAATCTACATAGTTTATTAAAAAAATTAAACCTCCAGTTATTAGAAACTAATATTTTGTTATTAACTTTTGATTACCGGCTTGTTCAATAAAATTAAACTGTATTTTTACGTTCAAAACAGAAAAAAAATTGCATTCAAACCCCAACATGCAAGACATTAGCAAAAAAGCATGCAGATTAAAGATAAAAACCCCACAGAGTACAAAAACACAGAACATGCAAAAGCAAACACAGATAAAATAGTACATACAATACAAAAAGGTACAGATATAATGAGTGGCTTACTTTGTGACGTCACCGAATCGAGCCCAGAGTGTATTGTGACTTTGTTACACGTTTCATTTCCAAAAAAAAACTCACACTTTTGAACACACGAAATATGAAATTAAATGAAACATTTGTAACCAATTTCGAAATTTCCGTTTACATTTTAATATTTTTAAGTTAATTTAGTAACTGCCATGGTTTATTAATATAGAAAAAAAAGAATATAATTATAACAAGGAAAATTAATTTTAATAATATTAATAAAAGGTCGCAAAGTTCAACCAATAGTGGACAGCTGTGCAGGCTTCGCAAACCTGTTTATATGTAATGACAAGTTACAAATTGTTTTAGAAGAAATCGCGAAAACATCAAACTCTAAGACTCTGTATATTTAATTATAATGTATTACTGATATTCATTGCTACGCAATTAAAAAAATATTTTAGTTCCTATAAAATCGCTAAAACCTCCCGAAAAATTATGCAAAACGTTTAGAAACCAATGATCATTATCAATCCAACACAAGTGACGTCTTTATACGCAACCAAAGTCGTAACAACCCGTCTAAACTCGCAACAACCAGCAACAATATAAGCAACAACCCTCAACAAAGTTGCAAAACCCCTCACTCAGTTGTGTAAAACCCGCGACAAAGTCGTAAATAGCACTGACCTGCGGCGCGTCCTCGTCTTCCTCCGGTTCCTTATACTTCCTGACCATGTGTTCCTCGACCGGTTGGAACAGCAAGGCGGCCGCCCAGACGTTCAGCATTATACCGCCCAATATTAACACTGCACCTCTGAAATAATATAAAAAAATGATGTTTTACTGGTGGTAGAACATATTTTCTAACGTCAAGCAGTGTTGTGTTACGGTCTTAAGACTCCATATATCTCTATCTATCTATACTCCACTCTCTCTCTCTCTCTTTCTCTCTTTCTATACTCTATATATCCGCTGACTTAACCCTGTTAACCACTGGTTTACAACACATTTCCTCCCTAAGCGGAACTATTAACTCCAGGTTAACAATATTTTTCAACCGTAAAATGCCCTTTGTACCAGCGGTTTACAAACGCACATTTGGGTATAGGCGTTCAAAAAAGAAGCTCTATTTCAATGAATATATGTTTTATTCATAGTATCGTATTTGTTATCCTTCAAGTATGATATTTTACGCCTTAATTAGTATTTTAATTGTTTTTCCAAATACGAAGTGTGTAGAAATATAATTTCTAAAAAGTTTTAGAACGCTACTTCCATGGCATTTTTTAATTTGACTAGTTTTTTATATTAATATGCGAATATATATGAGGGCCCGGATTCGAATCCCGGGTCGAGCCAAAACCAGTTAATGGGTTTTTCTGTTAAAAAGTTCTCAGTAGCTGCCCGGAGTCAGGAATGTGGCGGTGTCTCACCTCCGTGCCCCGGAAAGCACATAAAGCCGTTGGTCCTGCGCCTGATCTCTCTCCGGTCGTGTCGGTTTACCGTCCCATCGGATTATGAGAGTGAGGGAATAGAGAGTGTACCTGTGCATGCGCATACACTTGGGCACTATAATCCTCTCCCACGGATGGCTAGTCCCCGTCGGGTCGCCTTGACCGAATATCGGTCTGGAGGACATAATTATTATTATAGAAATGCAGACACGTTGTCATCCCTATAAACTAAGATGGAATGCTTCATTTTCAGTAAAAATGATCTCCGGTTCTCTACACTTACCATACGAAGCACAGTAGCATAAAGTTACTATTCTGTGAGAGCGTGGTCCTTCACCGTCATATATCAGAAGTCATAGGACTTTCTGGCGTTTCTCCTGATCGCATTTTATGACACTCATAGGAGAAAATCGGGTACGATAGTTTAACATTCGCATATTTTAAAATTACAACAATCTAAGTAAACTTAAAATGGTTTTCGAACGCAAATGTCATGCATGTATAATCACTGTCTCTGCCTTTTTAATATTGTACGTGTCTAATGTGTACTGCAAATAAATCTTTTTTGATATTCGGTAACCATCTTTCTTTTTTGAACAAAATCGAAGGAAAATCGGTAGTTTTTATTTATTTATTTATACTTTATTGCTATCACCTTAATAAAGATTAATAAAGGGTGGAAAACGGGCATAGTAAAATATATTGGTATGTTTTGTATTGGTAAAGTTCTAAAACACTACCTAAAGCTAACTAATTGAAATTATATGACGCAGACTCAGAGCAACAAAGAAAGATAGTAGACTCTCTATACACACGCAATCACGCACACGTCTTTCTTAATTTTTTTGGGTGTGTTCCGAAATAGAACATAGTATACCGGCCAATGCAAAAGACGTCATAAATCGACGCCATACTGGTGATTCATTTCAAAACGTTGGCCAGTATATGACAACATACATTTGCGCCATATTGGAAAAGTTTTAGCGATTATTTTAGGTCATTTTGTGCTCCAAAAGTTATTATATCCTATTTCAATAAATTTGTGAAGAATGGAGATACCAGCAACAATTCTATAATTTTTTGTATTTGAATAATTAAAAACAAATTCTGGCATGCTTCCTTCAGTGTACACACAGTTAAAAATTGTTTTAACATGGCCGGATATCCGACACAATATGGCGGCGGCACGCTAGTACAATATGGCGTCAATTAATGACGTCATTTGCATTCGCCAGTATACTGGGAAAATTTCGGAACACAGTCTTTGTCAGCCTGTAAATTGAGTGTTTCACTGCTGGACGTATACATATTAAACTAAAACAATGTTATTCGTCGCAAGTTATTTTAGATACAAGTATTGGAGTCCGTTTTATTACAAAAGTGAAGTTTTTTTATAGAATAATGATGACAAACGTGCGCACAGTCCACCTGATGGTAAGTGGTTGCTGTGGCCCATAGACATCTACATTTATCCTCGATTACGAATCAAAATGCAGATGCGTTGTCACCCCTGAGGACTAAGATGGAATGCCTCGTTTTCAGTAAAAAGTGTCTCCGGACCTCTACACTTACCATACGAAACACTGCAGCATAGAGTTGCTATTTTATACTAGTATTCAGTGATAGTATGGTCTTTTCCCGATCAAACCGATCCATTCGTGCTACGGCATGACTCTACCACGTGTGCACAAATTGTGTAAATGTGTAATTGAATGACTACCCAAAAGTTATTAGATTAAGAATCAAAATCTAAAGACTAAGACAGAATGTGCGTTTAACTTATGTGCCATTTAAAAACGTACGCAGCTCTCCATTTTTCTTTCTTCGTTGGTATGAGAACGTAGTATTTAATTATGGAGTTCTTCACCCCTGAGTTTAGGGATTTTAGAGAGAATTTCCGTCATCAGTCAATGTCAAATCAAACAATCTAGCGCTTGGTATATCGAAAAAAGCGAAGACTATACTCACTTGTACCCGTATGTCTCTAGAAGGTAACGCAGTACGGGCGGAAGTATGATGCTGCCGAAAGCCGAGCCGGACATACATATACCGTTCGCCAGACCGCGCAACCTTACGAAGTACGACGTCACGATGTAAACCGTGGGCGGAAAGGCCAGCCCGGCTCCGGTGCCCACCATTGCGCCGAAACTGTGAAGAGAAACACGTTCCTTGATGAGAGAATCGGCAAATTCCTGACAAAGTGGCAGCGCCATTTTGGAACGAAGTGAAATATTTTATTAATATTAATTAAATTGTTAAAAGAATATTATCTTTTCTGAAATATCACTTATATTTTATATTACCCTTACAGGTTATTAAAGTCCACTGATGAACATAGGCCCACTCCATGGTTTTTTAGGATATTTGCGATATGTATTTGCCACGCTTAGCAAATAGATTGGCAACCGCAGTTTCCTATTTTTCCATGGCCATCTCCTGATTTTGTTTCGCTCCGTAGCATATACATACGTACATAAGAGATGTACCCTGCGCGATGAGATGGGGCAATGGGTATTCGTACATCGCCACAACACGGTAAACATACAGTAGCGACATCTGGCGACCGGAAAATTATTAACTCATTGGTAGGACAGCGTAAATGTTACACAAAACCCTTCGTGCGGAGTCTATATTGGACACGAGGAAATGACGGTCCACATTCTACTCGAGCTGAATACCCCAAATCATCGAGGTTTATACGTGGTAGAGCCACGTTGCAGCTATATTATGGTTGTAGGACGAATGGGCCGGCTCGACCGGCGTCGACCACGCTCTCATAGAATACCAGCGTGAAATAGCAGCTTAATGCTGCTGTGTATCGTATGGTGAGTGTAGAGATCCGGCGACCCCTTTCTACTCGAAACGAGGCACTCCATCTTAGTCCTCAGGGGTGACAACACATCTACGTTTTGATCCTTAATCGAGGATAATTGTAGATGTCTATGGGCCACAGCATCCACTTACCATCAGGTGGACTGTGTGCTCGCTTGTCACCCCTATTCTATAAAAAGGTTGCTTTCCGAGGTCATTGGTAATGTTAAAAACTTAGATTCCTTGAAGAGTTCACACAAAATACTATTAGCAAACAAGTACCTACACAGTCTACCTGAAAGTAAGTGGATGCTGGGGCCCGTAAACATCTAAATCCACCTTCGGTTAGGAATCAAAATGTAGACGCGTTTTCAGCCCTAAGGGCTAAAGATAGAATGCCATGTTACCAGTCTGATCTCCGGTTCTGTACACTCACCATACGAAATTAAACCGCTATTTTACGCTGGTATCTCGAGAGGATCGACCTGTCGAGCCGACCCACTCGTGTTATAACCACAGTATAGCTGCAACGTGATTTTACCACGCTTCAAGTGTACCAGCTCGACTCAATCTATCGCCTACATACATACATACATTCTTATGGACGCCACACACGGTCAGTTCAACTCATCATTCCAACAGATCAGTTTAACATATTTTTTAAAATATCGGATTTAAAAAAATAATCCTCCTTATATATATATATATATATATATATATATATATATATATATATATATATATATATATATATATAAATTACGTGTCACGTTATTTGTCCGCGATGGACTCCTAAACTACTTAACCGATTGGAATCAAATTTGCACACCGTGTGCACTTTGGTCCAACTTGAGAGATAGGATAGTTTTTTTGCCCATGAGTGATCCACAATTTTTTTTTGCGAATTTAGTGTTTTTAATAGGACATGACAAAGGGTCGTCGAAAAGGGCAAAACAACGTCTGCCTGGCAAGCTAGTTTATTATAAAACTCCGATATTGATATATTTATAATTAACGATATATCGAAAATCCGATATTTTAAAAAATATCAACAGTCCTAGTTCGAACTGATCAGTTGGAATGATCAGTTGAACAGACCATGTGTGGCGACCATTAAGGTTGTCATCCAGAGGGGTAAACAAAGATTATAGATTTCTGGCACGATCTTGACACACCTTTCTCGCACATCCTGTCAACGCATACATGTTTTGTTTGTTTGCTTATCGAGGGCGTTCCTTACCATCTCTACCACTCGCCAATCTAGCATAAATCACCTGGAGCATAAAAGAGTTCAAAGACACATACCTAAAATACAAGTAGCCGATGGAAAACGCCCAGCTACTGAATATCATTCCGAAAGCGGCAAAGCAGCCGCCTATGAGGGTCACGGTTCGATACGACCATTTCACTGAGAGAATAGACGAGATTGGACCTGGAAGTAACATAGAAAACAATTTTTAATTATTTATCTTTAATAGACCATACGATAGATAGTTCATCAGCATTTTATTTTTATAGTGAAAACTTCATTACCTCATCATATCCCATAGTGTGGAGCAAGATGGTTTTTCGTAATGGTCCTATTAATGGTTCATTATTTAAAAACGTGATAAGTTGATTTTCCAAAGACTGCACCGAATCATAGTCAGATTAATGACATAACGTGTCATGAACTAATAAGAGTAAGAAAGATAGTGATCATGCTGTATTTTGTTATTTTCCTTAACTATCTATACGTGGTAGAGGCATGCTGCAGTTATATTAGTAGCATAGTTGTAGCACGAATGGGTCGGCTCGACCGGGGAAGGACCACGCTCTCACGGAATACCAGCGTAAAATAGTAGCTTAATGCTGCTTTGTTTCGTATGGTGAGTGTAGAGAACCGGAGATCCTTTTTACTGGAAACGAGGCACTCCATCTTAGTCCTTACGGGTGACAACCCATCTGCATTTTGATTTCCAATCGAGGGTAGATGTAGATGTCTATGGGCCGCAGCTACCACTTACCATCAGGTGGACTGTGCGCTCGTTTGTCAACCTATCCCATAAAAAAAGCTACATCATCATGCCCCTCCCCCTTTCCCTAAATTATTTAGCTTATAGACACCTACATCTATCTTCAATTAGGAATCGAAATGCAAATGCGTTGACACCCTTAAGGACTAACATGAAATGCCTCTTTTCAAATGATAAAGAGTCCCCGGTTAGCTGTAATAAATATACGAAACAGAGCAGCATTAATTAGTATTCCGCTGATATTCTGTGAGAGGTGAGAGCATGGTTCTTCCCCGCTCGAGACGAACTATTCGCATATATATAAGTATAAGTATATGGGTATGTGAGTGCTGCCGACACACGGAATATAAAAAATAAGTATATTCCGTGTGCTGACATGGTACCTACACAACATACGTCGCCCGTGTCAATGGGTGGGTTTGGCAGAAAAAAGCGCTAGCAAGCGCTTGTAAGCAAAATGGCGATCGTAAGCGGTAAGCGCTGTCAAATCGTAAGTAGCTATTTTCCTCCAGGACACGATGTTAGTTTTAACCGGGGAATCTAACCTAATTTAAATATATGTTTGTAAAGTATTCATATTAAAAACTTACCAATCATGAGTTTTTAATAGCATGTATATGTTTATTCATGTCATTATATTACTTAAAACTAATATTGCACAAAACAACTTATAAACTCTACTTCAAAACAAACAAATTAAATAAGCAAAATGGCGGATTGTGTCAGCGCTACTGAAGTAGCAATCGTGTCCTGGCCGAAAACTATTTTAGCGCTTATAAGCGCTTGCTAGCGCTTTTTTCTGCCAAACGCACCCAATGTGTATGTAATTCTCGTGAAATATGATAACGACTGCCACCGGCGGGAAGGCATTCTGTAATGGACCCCACACACGGTCAGTTAAACTGATCATTCCAACTGATCAGTTCAAACTAAAACCGTTGATATTTTTTAATATAGTGGATTTTCGATATATCGATCATTATAAATATATAAATATCGGAGTTTTACATATAACTTTATTTATCGATATATCGAAAATCCGATATTTAAAAATATATCAACAGTTTTAGTTGGAACTGTTAATTTGGAATGATCAGTTTAACTGACCGTGTGTGGCCACCATAGGTCAGTAGTTTAGTTCCTTTTTGGGTGTATAACGTGAACACGCGTCACCGATGTAAAAAATAAATCGGCAACAATTGATGTGAACAATTTCATCATTTTCCTACCTACACAACCTCCTAAGATACACTAGCCACCAAAAGTACCACTTAAAATTATTCCCATAGTTATTCTTCTAGGCTTCTTGTCTTACAATAAATACAAAACAATAAAAATTTTAAAAAAAAATTAAATAAAAAAATATTCAAAACAAACCTAAACTACTGTAGAGGAAGTAACACAGGGCCACTATCCCGGAGGAAGCCGACGCACTGGTTTCGAATACGTCATTGAACTCAACCAGCAGCACCCCAAACGACTTGATCGTTCCCGGAATCAGGATGTTAACTAGAGTTGCACCTGGAATCAAAGAAAAGTCAAATTAAAGCGACAATTATATGTAGGTACTTGCAAATTTTTTGTCATTGTTGTTGTAAGTTTAAGTAAATTTTTAAATTTGTATAAAGTTGGATGAAAGTAATATGTGGAGGCTTGTAATTAGCAATTTTTATCACCATTTTGTATCTTTACGAAGATATTAGTCTTTAAGCCTTCCTTAAAAAAAATAAAAAAAAAATTGATAGGTATTTGGTTACTGTGTTTTATAGGCACCATTTTTACTTTATTGTAAGCCAGTGGTTGATCACATAACCACCTGGTGGTAAGTGGTGATGAAGCTATAAATAGTCAATCCACACTATCTTAGTGTAACGAAAGTCTATTCACTCTTTCTGCCTTTAAGACGCTCAGATTGTTATTCGGACGGAAAGACAGACGCCAGCAAAATATTCCACTTCTTTGTTGTATGCATAACGAAAGGTTAAGCTAATCGTTTGAATGGCATATATTGAATATCGACAACAAAGGGATGAATACAGTGAAGAAATAAGCATGTTATTCTTGCGCACACTGTCCGTAATGCGTTGGGTGACAGGTGTGAGTATTTATGTATTTACTTATGTTTTACTTCAGGGGTGGTTTCATATAAATTTAAAGAGAAAATTTCAACCCTATGGGTTAGCATAGAGGTTGAAGTCTTTAATGTTCTGTTTAGACGACATTCTAATTGTTATCGTGAGCGTGTGATATTCCTTAGCACATAAAAAAGCGTCAAAATTTAATTTTATAAAAAAGTAACAGCCGATTTCAAAGAACTAAAAATAAGAAAATAATTTCCACAGAACAGATTCAAACGTCGGGATTATTTCTTTTGTACATTATGTTATGTCTAAGCACCGACTTCTGAAGCTAATATGTAAAAGTCGAAAAAACATTTTTCAAGTTAATTTCTTAACCCCTCAGTCCCCAGCTAAAATGTTAAACATCTCTCGCGCGCTTCACGTTCACGACTTCACTAAAAATAATCTAACATGGAATTTGTCGTACAATTATTTTCAATAAAATTCATTACAAATTTCAATATAATACTTGTTTCTGTTTATTTATTGTTATATTACTTGTTTTAGTACTTTTACTTCATTACAAATAGATTTTAATTGTATTTTCATAGTAAAAAATGTACATACCCAGCGCAGGACAGCAGCGTGAATATCACAATTATTTCTATATATTACTCGAAATTATTTATGTAAATTATATTTACACAAAATCACACCACACAGGCGTACGAAATGAACGTAGATTACAAATAAATACCATAGTTTTTATTGCATTAGAGAATAGAAAATTTCACATGGAGCCTATAATATCAAACTTCTTCATAGACAAGTAGTCTCTAAATATAAGTTTTTTATAGTTTAAAGTGCTGTGTGTGGGTGTGGTCGGATCCGACCGCTTGGAATTTAACGCAATATCGCCTTGGTCGGATCCGACTATGTGCATATTGAAGTGTTAAATTTAGATTCAGGCACCCGAAATACAAAGAAAGACTAAAGATTCGCTTTATAAGGAACTAACTCGCACGGCAGACACTATTATAGTTAACACGCGCTTCGCCCCGGCTTCGCACGGGTGATTTCTGGATCTCGACAACAGCTACCGGGTCCAATTGTGAATGTAAACCATCCAGGGACCCAAAAACCACATACAAAAAATGATCAAAACTAATCGAGCCATTATCGAGTTTTAGCGAGGCTAGAACCGCACCGGAAATGGATTTTTTATTTTAATGATGTGTCTTACCAAGTTGCAAAGCTAGGAGAGCGAGGGGTGCTCTTCAAACTAGGTAAGACACATCGCTTTAATTTATTACGCTTATCAATAATTAACATCTTTAATACGTTGTTTTGCCTCATTCGGTTAGGTCGTCCCACCTAAGGCTCAATATACACTACTGCGCAACGGAATGGAAGCGAATATTTGTAACGAAATTATACATAGTAAAATATCTTGTGTAACGCGCAAACTAGATATGAGCCAAAAGTAAGTCGCGCGTCTTCCGGGGAATTCTCGAAGATTCCCGTAGCTACTGTTGGCGAAGTCTGAGGAATTTGCGCGAAGTGGCTTGTAGGGCATGGAATCTAGACTAACTTTTCTACAGGCCCAAGGCGAAGTCGCGAGCTTCCCGCGCGTCGCGGCGAAATTAACTCTTCCGTTCCAATTCACGCCGCCGCAATGTAAATTGAGCCTAACGCGACGAAATCAACTCCGAATTTATTGCGGACTTTGCACCCTCTCAGAAATGAGCGGGAGGCCTGCGCCCAGGAGCGGGACATAAATAGGCTGTCTCTCTTGCACAGTGTAATTATAAAATTTCTTAATAACTCGACTACAGCACTACCTTTACAGTCCGGGTTTCGCGAATTTCTTTCTTGGCACTATACCAGCGCATATTTTGAATATGAGTCATTTTGATCCATAAATATATAATTTAAGAAGTTGACTAAGTCCACCCTATCGCCTCCTAGAATGGCTCATAACTGTCGTCTCGAAAAAACAAATGTATTGTGTGAACATGACCGCAATCTTTTTTTCACAGTATAAAGGTGACAAACTAGCACACAGTCCACCTGATGGTGATTGTATGCGGTGGTCCATAGACTGAGAGAGCCCTTGAGGACTAAGATAGAATTTGTCGTTCCCAGTAAAAAGGTTTTTTCGGTACTATCCATTCACCATAAGAAATACCAAAAATACAAAAAACTTTATCTTGACGTCAAAATATTACAATAAATGTTTTATTGAATCCATAGGCTCCTAAACTAGTGTAAAACTGTGTTTCACGGAGCTTCTCCCGAAACATTTATATGTGGTAGGGCCACGCTGCAGCTATATTATGGTTGTAGCACGAATTGATCGGCTCGAACGGGGAAGGACCACGAACTCACAGAATACCAGCGTAAAATCGTAGTTTAATACTGCTATGTTTCGTATGGTGAGTGTAGAATTCCGTAGATCCTTTTTTTACTGGAAATGAGGCATTCCACCTTAGTCCTCGGGAATATTAGTCTGCCTTTTGATTATTAATAGAAGATAAATGTCGGGCCACAGCATGCACTTACCACCAGGTGGACTGTGTGCTCGTATGTCATACTTATTGATTAAAAAAAGAACCATTGCATTATTAATTTATGCCTTACATAAGGTACATTATAAGTTATTCACAACCACATAAAGAAAGGGCTACTTACTAGCATATCTTTCATGTATGTAGTTGTGTGTGTATGTGTATTATGGATATTAATTTTTGGTCCGATCTACGCAGAACGAACTAATATTAAAAACTGAAGGTAGCCGGACTAACAATGACATTGGGACGTCAAACATCTCAGTCGCATCCGTGACCATGGGTACTGTATAGCAACCGAACTGTCGGGAATTAAAAATAACTTAATTAAACGCGATAAAATCCGTATACATAGTTTTATTCAATGTGTACTGTTCGCGTAAATTTAAAATCATCAAATGATGATGAATGATGATGTAACTTACTTATTCCCGTATAGATAGAAAGAGGTAAAACGGTAGAGCCAAATCCAGATTGACTTTTATTATACAGAAAAAGAGCTTCATACTTAGCTAAGTATAGTAGTATTGGGAGCTTCTTTATGAGTTATGAGCATATCTGAGTAGTTTGGAGTGCAAAATAACGAGGAGCACGCCAAATGCGTGCATGCGACACCTTCTGGTGTAACCGTAAACAACCTGTTATAGCCGAGATAAAGCGCAAAGAAAAGTATTAAGAATAAATATGTGGAGTTCGAGAGACAGTTCGTTAGATTGTCAGAAAAAAAATAACGCGTGTCAACCCTGACACGCGACTGCAGTTTACTCTATAGGTTCTATGCCCAGAGGCTATCTAGGCTCTTATTACCTGTTTTACCTTCAAACATTTTATTTCTTTAGAGTCAAGCCAATCAATTTTTCGATAATAATAATAATAATAATGTACTCCAGACCGAGCAGCCGTGGTAGCTCAGATAGTTAGCGTTCGCTGTAAATTTCACAATACGCGAGCAAACCGGGGTCGATCCCCGCCGACACCAATGAAATTGTTAGTTGCGATGTTAAGTGCTGATTTACCACGTGCTCGGCGGTGTAGGAAAACATCGTGAGGAAACATGCATGTCTGAGAAATAAGAAAAAAAAATTCGAAGACATGTGAAGTTCGCTAACATACATTGGGGCAGCGCGACGGACACTTCCTTGCCCTAAAACCCTCTCAGAAATGAGGGGTGGGCTGTGCCCAGTAGTGGAACGTATATAGGCTGTAACTTTACTTTATTTTACTCCAGACCGAATATCGGTCATGGCGGCCAGCCTCAACGGGGACTAGCCATCGGCGCAGGACAGGATTATAGTGCACGAGGGTATGCGCAGGCACAGGTGCACTCTCTAGTCCCTCACTCTAATAATTCGATGTTACGGTAAACCGACACAACCGGAGAGATCAGGCGCAGGACCAACAGCTTTACGCGCTTTCCGAGGCACGGGGGTGAGACATCGCCAACTTCCTGACTCCGTGCAGCTACTGAGAATTTCTTGATGACCCGGGATTCGAATCCGGGAACTCATAAGACTCATAAGAAGAACACTAGACCTACGAGGCAGTCGTTGGTCTTTTTTCGATAAAATTATCTAAAGAATGAAACAGATGGCGCTATTACTTTACAATACAATATTGAATATAAAGATAGGATCCACTAGCGTAACAGAACGCGGCGGTTTCACTCCCCATCTAATTTGGTAAACTCCAAAACCAACGGTACAACTTGTTTTTGATAAGAGCAATAATCAGCATAAGTCGAGGATCTTTAATGGTTAAATGCTACATGACGTCATCTGCGTCTAGCAACGGATCGCTAAGGTTATCAACGATCTAAACGATTAGTCGCACATATAATAACAGTCATTACTCCGCGATAGTCTTCATTTAGTATCGCTCGAAATATGGACAAAGG